CCTGCGACTTGCTCATAGCCTTGGTGCGAACGGTTTTCTAACGGGGGAAGCGTGGATTGAGTAACGCTGGAAAATCATGGAACATCTTTTGGGGGAAACTTCAGGAAACCCATGGTGAAATCTGCGGGAAACCAATGTGTTTGAAGCTTTTCCAGGAATTCTGAAGGGAACCATGTTTTGTTTTGGAAAAGAACACCATTCATTGAGGGCTCCCTTAGGTCTTAGGTTTGCGTGATGTTGTAAGATATCAATGGGATGACAATATTTTTTAACTTTTTGTAACTACCCATCACTAGAGATTGGGTCATAGCGTGCTGTCTAGCCATAACTGTACTTAAGCTAAAGCTAGGGCGGCTAGGGCCAAGTGATTAACAAGGGTGGTGAGCCATGTCCTAAGGATCCTAACGGGACGGGAACCACTATATACCAACAACCCAATTCCAAATGATTCACATCGTGAGATATTTACAAAGCCCTATCGCTTCAAAAGTGCGTCCATTCTCTTGTGTTTAACACTTGTCAGAGGTCAGATTTCCACATTCTACATAGTTGGATCTTATCGTTATCCTTTTGCGTCTTTAGGATTTATATGGCGTGATCATTCCAGTACATGTGCTGTTCTAAATCAGATCTCCAAATTCGTCCAAAATCAATGTTCATCCGCCGCAGTCTTCCTTCCGTTCTCCCATATTCTTCCATATTCTCCCAGCCTGGGCAGGCACAAAGTTGGAGGGCACATCTGTGATCATCAAGCCAGCAATGATGCTCCAGCCCGCCAAATATGCCAAGCTGAGGATCATCTGGATCAAAGGGAGCAAAATCCTTAGAATCGCTGTCAGCTACCAGTTATTCCATGGTAGCCTCGGGGAGAAAAAAGACGAGGACACCCAGCAACCAACACGAGGGGTTGAGGTGTCCTTTAAGGGTCAGCAGTGTCATGATCCAATCATCTCCGATCGATTCACACGAGGAACCATCTGCACGGCTGGACGAGCCACACGTAAGGATGCATGGCTGTAAACTCCGCTGCAACCTGGTGGACAGCCTCAGTTGATACCCCAAAGAGCCCGCATGAGTCAACCCAAGTCAATGTATCATGGCCATGGCGCTCTTAAAATGCTGCACATCCTGAGATGAGGTACAACTTGATAAATATCCTCGGATTTGAGCAGATTTTCCACATGGATCCCGCTAAGGCGTTGGCTATGGCCAGCCGAATGCGATTGCCTCAGCCGCGGCCATCAACACGTCGAACGACCGGCAACCGGTGGCTCCAGCCTCCGTTCTTCCAAGGGGCGAAGGCAAATCACTAGCAGCAGCCACAGAGCGGCAAAGCCCAGGAAGCAATATCCTTCGGTGATGGGCCCTTTTGAGACTGTGGGACTATGTCTGGGACACAAAACTTGCCCGGTCAAGAATGCTGCCTTCAAAATGCCAGGTTTTTGGGGAGGCTGGGGAAGCTAGTATAGAACGATTGAGGCTAGGCCCAACCAACAATAGACAGGAATGACTAGACTGAAAATCAGCGGCTCCAGTTTTTTGTGGAAAGCACTTTGAAGAAAAGGCAGGTATTCATACAACTCCTAGGAATCCTAAGCGCACAGAGTTGTGCCCAGTAGTGCTGTTTGTGAAAAGTGTAGGCCTATACAAAAAAAGAAGCGATGGAACAACACTGCCTCTTAAGATCTTGTAACAGTTCCTAGCCCCTAAAGAAATTGTTTTACCCATAATTTCGGGACTTTTACATACTTTTACCATTTTTGGGGTGGTATTTGGAGGGTCTAGTTGACATGTACCCTCTGGTAAACTAACATAGCTATGGAAAATCACTATTTTTAGTGGGTAAATCCACTATAAATGGCCATTTTCAATAGCTATGTTAGTTTACCAGAGGGTAAGTACTACAAGCCCATTATTGTAGCCCTCCCAGTAGCGCTTCGCCGCCTACGATCCGCACGGCGTTTCGCAGGTCTGGATTGGAGATGGCGTAGCCACCCAAGTCCTGGCGACTCAAAGATCAGAAAGAACCTTTAAGTCATTGGATTGGTTTAAGGGAAAATCTACAGGAAACCCATGGGTTTTTACCATCAAATATAGGGCTTTCCTGTAAATTTTCCCATCATCCAATTCTATGATTAAGGAATGCCATTCTTTGAAGCTAACTGGCTGTGTACATAGAGGCTCTAGAAAAAGGCTATCTACTTGTTTTTCCGGAAAATCCACCATCGTGAAACTGGCATTTTCAGCGAAACATTTTCTGAACTTCACCGGTGAAAATATGTGGGATTTGTTGTTGACCGTCCTGGCAGTTGACCAGCAGGTCGCTCGGTTTTTCTGTCACGTTCTGCACGTTCTGCACTGCCGTCAAGGCCGCTTGCTCTGTAAAGTCCAGAAAGCCGACCTGGACGGTCCCAACCATGGCGCCTAAGGGGGGTCAACGGGAAAGGCAGCCATGGTGAAAAGGTTGGTTTATAACATTATAACCCCAGCTATAGATATGCAATAGATATATGAATTACATTTAATTACCATGATATACCGATATACCTACTATAAACAGGCATAAACCATCCTAGGCGACTTCCACTTCGGCAGCACGACTCGACTTCAACGCGTAACGCGCGCTCTTCTGCGCCTCCGCACACTGCAAAGACTTGGAGATGGCCAATGCTCCAGCCGCAAGGAGCAGAAGGAAGATCAAAAGAAGCGAAAGCCACACCTCAGTTCTGGAGCCTTGGAATGCTTGGAATGTCGACATTCATCGACTTTTGGAGAAACAAAAACACTTCTTTGATTGATAGTGGAGATAGATGTGAATGGTTGGAGATAAGCATTCTTTGATAAGAGTGGTTGCTGGAATTGTTGCTGGTCATTTCAGCAGATTTCAAGATGGAAATGAGTGAGAATGAACCATTTCAATTAGCCGATGGTTCGATGGTTCCTTCTGTTTTTTTCTCGGAGGAAGAACATTGAAACCACATTGATGATTGCAAGAGATTGCTTGAAATCAAGTAGGGTTGAAATCCCTCCAACTTTTCCATCCCTCCCATTTTCGATGCTTTTCACATAGGTTCCATTGATTTTCACCATTGATTTTCCCATATTTTCTCAAAAAAACCTATGTTTTTCCTTTCATTTTCCCACATCTTACCAACATGTCCTCTATGATGTTCCCATATTTTCCTATGACTCTCCAATATATCTCCAATATTTTGACATAGTTGTCCTATGATTTCCCATAGTTTTCCCATGATTTTCCACCGATCTTCCGATCAACGCTATGGATTTTTAGTTGTTCCATTATTCTTCCATATGTTGACATGTTATTTTCCCATCTTTCCATATTTTCCCATTGTTTTCCACTCATGTTCCACTGATCTTCCCATCAAAACCTCTATTTCTCGGGGTTTTCTGCTGTCGCCGTGCTACGACAGGCTTGGCAAAGAAGCGCACCAGGACCATGTACACCACTCCTTGGGCCGGCTCCTACGATGGGAATCCATAGGAAAGATTCGGAAAACTGATACAAATTAGGCACATATAGGAAAATGATGGGAAAATATATGGGAACATCCCTGATAAATGGAGATTTTCAGATGCTTTAATGGGAAAATCATCGAAGTATAGATGGGGAATGCTCCATTGCCAGACCTGAATTTCAGACTTGAAGTGAACCACTCCCCATATCTTCCAATTTAAATATCCAGAAAGCAAACCTTCGCTTTCTGAACATCCCCAAATTTGTAGATATGAGTGATATGAGTATAGCAGGTGAATCAACAATAGATCACCGGCACTTTCACAGAAATTTCTACTGTCTGGTAAACTAACATAGCCATAGCTATTGAAAATGGCCATTTATAGTGAGTTGTCCCATTAAAAATGGTGATTGTCCATAGCTATGTTAGTTTACCAGGGGGTAGAAATTTCTAGCATGTTTGGTTGCCAGCCCATCTCAGCCATGGCCGGACATGGTCCACCAAGCAACCCAACAACAGAGCAACGAAGGCCACCACACCCAGCGCATCCAACGAAGTCAAGATAGACCCCACTGCCTTCGTTCACCGACCCCAAAAGATCATCCTGACTCTGGGGAACCAACCAATGATGATCTCATGATTTAACAAACCATAGGGGATATCAACAAAAAATGGTCACTTTTAGAAGGACACAACTCCACTTAAAGGTTAAATCAAACCAAGGACAAACAGCCTGGACAAAAATGTATAGTTTCTGGTAGTTTCCTTGGCCTCATCACCTCACCTCGAGATTTCCGGTGGCCTCCGGTGGCCCGTTACGCCGCCCAGTGGCATTGTTGACATCGGCAAGAACGCTGCTCGCCAGCTTGGACTGCGCCAGTGAGTCGAGCTGCTTCGAAATCCTCGTTTTTTTCGCGGATATGCCAACAAAAATGGCTGGGGATTGCTAGGTGCAACTCCAATAGCTATGGTGTATATGGTGTATATGGTGTATATGGTAGGTATATGGTGTATATGGTAGGTATATGGTAGGTATATGGTAGGTATATGGTAGGTATATATCTATAGCTGGGATGAAACTGAACCAACTTATGATGGTTCTCACCTGAGGGAAGTCATGATACATTACCTATCACGACCTATCAAATGTATTCAAATAAGATCAGATAATTTCACTGGTTGGTGGTTTCAACCCCAAAAAATAAGTTGGTCATGATCATCCTATTTCATGCTATTTCCATGGTTGACCAATAAAACAGCTTGGACACCACCAAGCAATTTAGAACCACCAACAGAATCAACAGAAAGTTCCTCTTCGAACAGCCAAGCAGCCCTGATGTCAAGCTGCTCACCAACGAGCTCTCCAACTCTGGTAGGCAAATGTCGTCGGGTCCCGGCTGAAAATCTGACGAAAGCGCTCAGCGCTTTGAAGGACATCATGGAGGGCTGCTATTGATTGGAACCACGAGGGAAATCACGATGCTTAGCAATTTAAGGGTTCCGAAAACCAAGCACATCTTGCAGTGCACAAAGCAAGTCAAAAGTGTACACCATACCCAGATGCTTAGGTGTCAAATGTGATCCCTTTGATAGATCGGCAGCGAGAAGTATGCAAATCAGCCGAGTACAACAATGTTACGACCTTGAAATTTCCAGGACACTAAGCAGATTATAGAATATCATAATATTTCCGAAGGATTATGATGCTTTACATAATATTGTAATGTTGTTTTATATTCCATGGGTATCAGTATATAATGAACTGGCAGGCATGTGGCCCAATTATTTTTTCACCCTTGACCCTCCAAGGTCTCCCCCTTTTTTTCGCGCCAAGAAGCTAAGGCCCGGGAACGGCACCTGGCCATTCGGCCAAATTTACCAGAGGATCTCCCTGGGAATAGCCTCTGGTAAACCAACATATGGAAAATCACCAATTTTTATGGGTAAATCCACTATAACATATGGAAAATCACAAATTGTTATGGGTAAATCCATGGTAAATCCACTATTTCTATGGCCATTTTCAATAGCAAACTGTTCGTTTACCAGAGGGTTGTCGGAATATCTGTGGATTCTCCTCATGAAACCAACAATTTTTTAGAAGTACACCTAGACCCTCCACCCAAAGAAATGGTAAAACAGTTAGTAAAACATGTACTAAACATATGGGGCGTTTAACCCCATCTTTATGGCTACCAAACGGAGGTATCTAGACATGTCCAGTATTGTCCAGTCCCCACGACGTACATCGCCATAGCCAAGGCACACAATACCTGGCAGAATAGGGGCAGGAGGCTTCGTCCCAGGCGTTCATCTGCAACCTTCGTGTGGATGGCGATGGTGATCCCCAGTGGAAGGCGTAGCCAGAAGGGTTTCATCAAACATGGCTGGACGACTTAAAATCCACCACAGTTGTTGATGTTCTCAGCTATAAACCTCCATAGTATACATATATATATATATTTATAGCGGTTTCATTGCTGGAGGGTAAATGATGGTTAAATTAATGTTGAATCATTATGGATGATTACTGGGATGGTTTACTACTACCTTTTCCTCATTAAATCCATGTCTGCTTTTTTTGTGTTTTTATACATTGCTTCCATATTTATAGTTGATTTTCCCACTGTATAATTATAAAACATCCATTTACAATAGATTGTCCATTTCCACTTTCCAGTACTGGAGGGTAAACTACATAAAACCATATAAAACCTCCATGCGTTGGTGTTTTTGGGTGTCACCATCCCAGCCACTGCTGCAAGGGCAATGAGGAGGAAAGCCGTTCGTAGGCAGAGGCCCAGGGTGCCTGAGAAAACCGCGCCCGTGCGCGCAAAAGCGGCTGGCAGCGGCTGGAATTTGAAAAAAAAACAACGAAAACTTGATGTTAAATGCTTCAAAATGGTTCAAGCTTGACCTGACCCATCATTCACCTGAACTCTTCACCTAAATGAACTAAATGATCCAAATTCCAACAGTTTAAGGTCGCAAAATCCTGAAAGAGTCCAGTTGTTCTCCATGTTTTTTTTTGCCACGGCGAGATGCATCAGGCGGTGGGCTATAGCTGTACTTCCTTGACCTGGTCGATCTTGGAATTCTGCGAGTTTGGTGAAACGAACTGAGATTCGATTGGCAATACTGGATATGATTGGATCATATTAGTATGACTGGATTGATGTATATTGGATATTATTGAATTGATAATATGTATATATATAAATATTATAGTGGATATGTGTGGAAATTTTGGCCAATATGTTTTTTTGGTGGCTTCGAAACATCTAGAAACATCGACTTCAAAGCTGGCGTCGGCCGAGCAGCGTGGAGAGGCTACAAGCACTGGTGCATACCTGGCTGACATCCCCTGCTGGAGGCTTCCGGTCGGATTTTTAAGTTGATGATATATTACACATGTATAAATGAAATTAATTGAACTTAGCACATCAGAGAGCACATTCAGAAGAAATTATTCAACAGGAGGAACCTCCCAGCCGCGATTCGAATCATATTTTTACGATTGCTGCTGAGTCACTGGAGTTAAGTACTTGGAAGCGTCTGCCATGACCTGAAGGCGATGCAACCAGCAATTAATGGGGATTAATGGGGCTGGTTGTAAATTGGATTCATAAGGATTCATGGTGAGTGTATCTGAGGTCCAAGGGTGATACCCCCAACTACTACCAGGGGGGGGTTGGTTTTTCATAATAGACCCCAAAATCCAAGGGTCTGAAATCATGATCCTAGACCCCCCCTGGGTATTCCAAATAGGGGTCTAACCTCATGTGGAACAGGGTCATCTTAATGCTGACAAGTGCGGGTAGGTTAAGAATAGACACCCAAAAAAAAACGGGCCCGAAAAGATTTCAGACCCCATGTTTGGTGATCGATTTGTTTTCAGTTACCTTACAATGTCAGACCCCCTTTCTGGGACAACCAATCTTAGACCCCAAAGGTGAAAATTCCAAATTTGACCCATCCTTGATTTACTGTTAATCCATGCTCAGACCCCATCTAGGGGGTATAACGATTTCAGACCCCACATAATGGACCAACAGGGCACATCATAGCACAACATGTTTTTTTCTGCGTCGCCTTGTCTTGTGGTCTTGTCTTGGAACTTTGCTCACCCAAAGCAATGTTCTGATTTTATCTAATTTTGGCATCTTGCCAAGGGTCGGCATGTTGCCAACTTTCACTATCTTTCCCTGATCTGCTCCAAGCTTTTCATGGAACACAGCATCAGCAACTAAAAAACCAAGGGCGATGGCTCTAACTCTGCAGGTTCTCTTCGCAGCTCTTTGATAGAAAAAATAGAAACGAATCCTAAAAAAACTTTGTATGAAATTATAGACGGCTATTCATTGTTATTCATGGCCAAGGCACCTCGCCACGACGCACGAGTTATACCATTCAAACATGACAAAATGTCAGTACAATTCAACAGGCATATATAATATGACAAAATATTGCATCATTTCAAAACATGCAAGAAAAACAATGTAGAGCTCAAAAGCAGGGCATAGGCTCACAACAGAGGGTCTAGGTTGGTCTTACTTGGAGGTTGAACCATTCTTTCAACAGCTGATGATGCAAAATACCATTTCAGACCCCCAATGAAACAAAAAAAACTGAATTCCACAGCTCAACCCCTGGCATTTTCTGTTGGGACTTTCAACCTGTTGGGACAAAAAAACATTAACAAAAAGGGTCGTATTTCAAGATTCACACACCATTCAATTGGACATCATTTCAAAATATGCAAGAAAAACCATGTAGAGCTCACAAACAAGGCATAGGCTCGCAACAGAGGGTCTAGGTTGGTCTTACTTGGAGGTTGAACCATTCTTTCAACAGCTGATGATGCAAAATACCATTTCAGACCCCCAATGAAACAAAAAAAAAAAGAATTCCACAGCTCAACCCCTGGCATTTTCTGTTGGGACTTTCAACCTGTTGGGACAAAAACACATTAACAAAAAGGGTCGTATTTCAAGATTCACACACCATTCAATTGGACATCATTTCAAAATATGCAAGAAAAACCATGTAGAGCTCACAAATAAGGTATAGGCTCACAATAGAGGGTCTAGGTTGGTCTTACTTGGGGGTTAAACCATTCTTTCAACAGCTGATGATGCAAAATACCATTTCAGACCCCCAATGAAACAAAAAAACTGAATTCCACAGCTCAACCCCTGGCATTTTCTGTTGGGACTTTCAACCTGTTGGGACAAAAACACATTAACAAAAAGGGTCGTATTTCAAGATTCACACACCATTCAATTGGACATCATTTCAAAATATGCAAGAAAAACCATGTAGAGCTCACAAACAAGGCATAGGCTCGCAACAGAGGGTCTAGGTTGGTCTTACTTGGAGGTTGAACCATTCTTTCAACAGCTGATGATGCAAAATACCATTTCAGACCCCCAATGAAACAAAAAAGATGAATTCCACAGCTCAACCCCTGGCATTTTCTGTTGGGACTTTCAACCTGTTGGGACAAAAACACATTAACAAAAAGGGTCGTATTTCAAGATTCACACACCATTCAATTGGACATCATTTCAAAATATGCAAGAAAAACCATGTAGAGCTCACAAACAAGGCATAGGCTCGCAACAGAGGGTCTAGGTTGGTCTTACTTGGAGGTTGAACCATTCTTTCAACAGCTGATGATGCAAAATACCATTTCAGACCCCCAATGAAACAAAAAAAAACTGAATTCCACAGCTCAACCCCTGGCATTTTCTGTTGGGACTTTCAACCTGTTGGGACAAAAACACATTAACAAAAAGGGTCGTATTTCAAGATTCACACACCATTCAATTGGACATCATTTCAAAATATGCAAGAAAAACCATGTAGAGCTCACAAATAGGGTATAGGCTCACAATAGAGGGTCTAGGTTGGTCTTACTTGGAGGTTGAACCATTCTTTCAACAGCTGATGATGCAAAATACCATTTCAGACCCCCAATGAAACAAAAAAAACTGAATTCCACAGCTCAACCCCTGGCATTTTCTGTTGGGACTTTCAACCTGTTGGGACAAAAACACATTAACAAAAAGGGTCGTATTTCAAGATTCACACACCATTCAATTGGACATCATTTCAAAATATGCAAGAAAAACCATGTAGAGCTCACAAACAAGGCATAGGCTCGCAACAGAGGGTCTAGGTTGGTCTTACTTGGAGGTTGAACCATTCTTTCAACAGCTGATGATGCAAAATACCATTTCAGACCCCCAATGAAACAAAAAAAAACTGAATTCCACAGCTCAACCCCTGGCATTTTCTGTTGGGACTTTCAACCTGTTGGGACAAAAACACATTAACAAACAGGGTCGTATTTCAAGATTCACACCCCATTCAAATTGGACATCATTTCAAAACATGCAAGAAAAACAATGTAGAGCTCACAAATAGGGTATAGGCTCACAATAGAGGGTCTAGGTTGGTCTTACTTGGAGGTTGAACCATTTTTTCAACAGCTGATGATGCAAAATACCATTTCAGAC